CCAAGTGTCCCTCTGCTCTTCTCTTTCCGCCAAGTGTCCCTCTGCTCTTCTCTTTCCGCCAAGTGTCCCTCTGCTCTTCTCTTTCCGCCAAGTGTCCCTCTGCTCTTCTCTTTCCGCCAAGTGTCCCTCTGCTCTTCTCTTTCCGCCAAGTGTCCCTCTGCTCTTCTCTTTCCGCCAAGTGTCCCTCTGCTCTTCTCTTTCCGCCAAGTGTCCCTCTGCTCTTCTCTTTCCGCCAAGTGTCCCTCTGCTCTTCTCTTTCCGCCAAGTGTCCCTCTGCTCTTCTCTTTCCGCCAAGTGTCCCTCTGCTCTTCTCTTTCCGCCAAGTGTCCCTCTGCTCTTCTCTTTCCGCCAAGTGTCCCTCTGCTCTTCTCTTTCCGCCAAGTGTCCCTCTGCTCTTCTCTTTCCGCCAAGTGTCCCTCTGCTCTTCTCTTTCCGCCAAGTGTCCCTCTGCTCTTCTCTTTCCGCCAAGTGTCCCTCTGCTCTTCTCTTTCCGCCAAGTGTCCCTCTGCTCTTCTCTTTCCGCCAAGTGTCCCTCTGCTCTTCTCTTTCCGCCAAGTGTCCCTCTGCTCTTCTCTTTCCGCCAAGTGTCCCTCTGCTCTTCTCTTTCCGCCAAGTGTCCCTCTGCTCTTCTCTTTCCGCCAAGTGTCCCTCTGCTCTTCTCTTTCCGCCAAGTGTCCCTCTGCTCTTCTCTTTCCGCCAAGTGTCCCTCTGCTCTTCTCTTTCCGCCAAGTGTCCCTCTGCTCTTCTCTTTCCGCCAAGTGTCCCTCTGCTCTTCTCTTTCCGCCAAGTGTCCCTCTGCTCTTCTCTTTCCGCCAAGTGTCCCTCTGCTCTTCTCTTTCCGCCAAGTGTCCCTCTGCTCTTCTCTTTCCGCCAAGTGTCCCTCTGCTCTTCTCTTTCCGCCAAGTGTCCCTCTGCTCTTCTCTTTCCGCCAAGTGTCCCTCTGCTCTTCTCTTTCCGCCAAGTGTCCCTCTGCTCTTCTCTTTCCGCCAAGTGTCCCTCTGCTCTTCTCTTTCCGCCAAGTGTCCCTCTGCTCTTCTCTTTCCGCCAAGTGTCCCTCTGCTCTTCTCTTTCCGCCAAGTGTCCCTCTGCTCTTCTCTTTCCGCCAAGTGTCCCTCTGCTCTTCTCTTTCCGCCAAGTGTCCCTCTGCTCTTCTCTTTCCGCCAAGTGTCCCTCTGCTCTTCTCTTTCCGCCAAGTGTCCCTCTGCTCTTCTCTTTCCGCCAAGTGTCCCTCTGCTCTTCTCTTTCCGCCAAGTGTCCCTCTGCTCTTCTCTTTCCGCCAAGTGTCCCTCTGCTCTTCTCTTTCCGCCAAGTGTCCCTCTGCTCTTCTCTTTCCGCCAAGTGTCCCTCTGCTCTTCTCTTTCCGCCAAGTGTCCCTCTGCTCTTCTCTTTCCGCCAAGTGTCCCTCTGCTCTTCTCTTTCCGCCAAGTGTCCCTCTGCTCTTCTCTTTCCGCCAAGTGTCCCTCTGCTCTTCTCTTTCCGCCAAGTGTCCCTCTGCTCTTCTCTTTCCGCCAAGTGTCCCTCTGCTCTTCTCTTTCCGCCAAGTGTCCCTCTGCTCTTCTCTTTCCGCCAAGTGTCCCTCTGCTCTTCTCTTTCCGCCAAGTGTCCCTCTGCTCTTCTCTTTCCGCCAAGTGTCCCTCTGCTCTTCTCTTTCCGCCAAGTGTCCCTCTGCTCTTCTCTTTCCGCCAAGTGTCCCTCTGCTCTTCTCTTTCCGCCAAGTGTCCCTCTGCTCTTCTCTTTCCGCCAAGTGTCCCTCTGCTCTTCTCTTTCCGCCAAGTGTCCCTCTGCTCTTCTCTTTCCGCCAAGTGTCCCTCTGCTCTTCTCTTTCCGCCAAGTGTCCCTCTGCTCTTCTCTTTCCGCCAAGTGTCCCTCTGCTCTTCTCTTTCCGCCAAGTGTCCCTCTGCTCTTCTCTTTCCGCCAAGTGTCCCTCTGCTCTTCTCTTTCCGCCAAGTGTCCCTCTGCTCTTCTCTTTCCGCCAAGTGTCCCTCTGCTCTTCTCTTTCCGCCAAGTGTCCCTCTGCTCTTCTCTTTCCGCCAAGTGTCCCTCTGCTCTTCTCTTTCCGCCAAGTGTCCCTCTGCTCTTCTCTTTCCGCCAAGTGTCCCTCTGCTCTTCTCTTTCCGCCAAGTGTCCCTCTGCTCTTCTCTTTCCGCCAAGTGTCCCTCTGCTCTTCTCTTTCCGCCAAGTGTCCCTCTGCTCTTCTCTTTCCGCCAAGTGTCCCTCTGCTCTTCTCTTTCCGCCAAGTGTCCCTCTGCTCTTCTCTTTCCGCCAAGTGTCCCTCTGCTCTTCTCTTTCCGCCAAGTGTCCCTCTGCTCTTCTCTTTCCGCCAAGTGTCCCTCTGCTCTTCTCTTTCCGCCAAGTGTCCCTCTGCTCTTCTCTTTCCGCCAAGTGTCCCTCTGCTCTTCTCTTTCCGCCAAGTGTCCCTCTGCTCTTCTCTTTCCGCCAAGTGTCCCTCTGCTCTTCTCTTTCCGCCAAGTGTCCCTCTGCTCTTCTCTTTCCGCCAAGTGTCCCTCTGCTCTTCTCTTTCCGCCAAGTGTCCCTCTGCTCTTCTCTTTCCGCCAAGTGTCCCTCTGCTCTTCTCTTTCCGCCAAGTGTCCCTCTGCTCTTCTCTTTCCGCCAAGTGTCCCTCTGCTCTTCTCTCCCGCCAAGTGTCCCTCTGCTCTTCTCTTTCCGCCAAGTGTCCCTCTGCTCTTCTCTTTCCGCCAAGTGTCCCTCTGCTCTTCTCTTTCCGCCAAGTGTCCCTCTGCTCTTCTCTTTCCGCCAAGTGTCCCTCTGCTCTTCTCTTTCCGCCAAGTGTCCCTCTGCTCTTCTCTTTCCGCCAAGTGTCCCTCTGCTCTTCTCTTTCCGCCAAGTGTCCCTCTGCTCTTCTCTTTCCGCCAAGTGTCCCTCTGCTCTTCTCTTTCCGCCAAGTGTCCCTCTGCTCTTCTCTTTCCGCCAAGTGTCCCTCTGCTCTTCTCTTTCCGCCAAGTGTCCCTCTGCTCTTCTCTTTCCGCCAAGTGTCCCTCTGCTCTTCTCTCTTCCCGCCAAGTGTCCCTCTGCTCTTCTCTTTCCGCCAAGTGTCCCTCTGCTCTTCTCTTTCCGCCAAGTGTCCCTCTGCTCTTCTCTTTCCGCCAAGTGTCCCTCTGCTCTTCTCTTTCCGCCAAGTGTCCCTCTGCTCTTCTCTTTCCGCCAAGTGTCCCTCTGCTCTTCTCTTTCCGCCAAGTGTCCCTCTGCTCTTCTCTTTCCGCCAAGTGTCCCTCTGCTCTTCTCTTTCCGCCAAGTGTCCCTCTGCTCTTCTCTTTCCGCCAAGTGTCCCTCTGCTCTTCTCTTTCCGCCAAGTGTCCCTCTGCTCTTCTCTTTCCGCCAAGTGTCCCTCTGCTCTTCTCTTTCCGCCAAGTGTCCCTCTGCTCTTCTCTTTCCGCCAAGTGTCCCTCTGCTCTTCTCTTTCCGCCAAGTGTCCCTCTGCTCTTCTCTTTCCGCCAAGTGTCCCTCTGCTCTTCTCTTTCCGCCAAGTGTCCCTCTGCTCTTCTCTTTCCGCCAAGTGTCCCTCTGCTCTTCTCTTTCCGCCAAGTGTCCCTCTGCTCTTCTCTTTCCGCCAAGTGTCCCTCTGCTCTTCTCTTTCCGCCAAGTGTCCCTCTGCTCTTCTCTTTCCGCCAAGTGTCCCTCTGCTCTTCTCTTTCCGCCAAGTGTCCCTCTGCTCTTCTCTTTCCGCCAAGTGTCCCTCTGCTCTTCTCTTTCCGCCAAGTGTCCCTCTGCTCTTCTCTTTCCGCCAAGTGTCCCTCTGCTCTTCTCTTTCCGCCAAGTGTCCCTCTGCTCTTCTCTTTCCGCCAAGTGTCCCTCTGCTCTTCTCTTTCCGCCAAGTGTCCCTCTGCTCTTCTCTTTCCGCCAAGTGTCCCTCTGCTCTTCTCTTTCCGCCAAGTGTCCCTCTGCTCTTCTCTTTCCGCCAAGTGTCCCTCTGCTCTTCTCTTTCCGCCAAGTGTCCCTCTGCTCTTCTCTTTCCGCCAAGTGTCCCTCTGCTCTTCTCTTTCCGCCAAGTGTCCCTCTGCTCTTCTCTTTCCGCCAAGTGTCCCTCTGCTCTTCTCTTTCCGCCAAGTGTCCCTCTGCTCTTCTCTTTCCGCCAAGTGTCCCTCTGCTCTTCTCTTTCCGCCAAGTGTCCCTCTGCTCTTCTCTTTCCGCCAAGTGTCCCTCTGCTCTTCTCTTTCCGCCAAGTGTCCCTCTGCTCTTCTCTTTCCGCCAAGTGTCCCTCTGCTCTTCTCTTTCCGCCAAGTGTCCCTCTGCTCTTCTCTTTCCGCCAAGTGTCCCTCTGCTCTTCTCTTTCCGCCAAGTGTCCCTCTGCTCTTCTCTTTCCGCCAAGTGTCCCTCTGCTCTTCTCTTTCCGCCAAGTGTCCCTCTGCTCTTCTCTTTCCGCCAAGTGTCCCTCTGCTCTTCTCTTTCCGCCAAGTGTCCCTCTGCTCTTCTCTTTCCGCCAAGTGTCCCTCTGCTCTTCTCTTTCCGCCAAGTGTCCCTCTGCTCTTCTCTTTCCGCCAAGTGTCCCTCTGCTCTTCTCTTTCTTCCCTCCTCTTCTCTTTCCGCCAAGTGTCCCTCTGCTCTTCTCTTTCCGCCAAGTGTCCCTCTGCTCTTCTCTTTCCGCCAAGTGTCCCTCTGCTCTTCTCTTCCCGTCCGTTCCTCCTTCAGGCAGCAGGCCCCCTCACCCTGTTTCTGCTGCCATGGCAGCTGCTGCGCTGTCTGTTCAGTGCCGTCAGCTCATATGGGGGTGAAGACCGGCTCTCATCTCACAAGTGTCGCTCCGCTCTTCCCTTCCCTCCACCCCTCCACCCCTCCACCCCTCCACCCCTCCACCCCTACACCCCTCCACCCCTCCGTCCCTCCACCCCTCCGTCCCTCCACCCCGCCATACCCCCATCAGTCGGCAGGTCCCCTCATCCTGCCTCTGCTGCCACAGCGGCTGCTGCAGCGGCTGTTCAGTGCTGTCTGTTTAGGTCTCTTCTCTCACCCTGCCTCCCCCTCTGCCTCCGCCCCTCCTTCAGGCAGCAGGCCCCCTCATCCTGCTTCTCCTGCCACGCCGGCTGCTGCAGCGGCTGTTCAGTGCTGTCAGGCCACAAGGGGATGATGACCGGCACACCTCTCACAGGTCAACAGGGAGAGAGACAGACAGAAGAGTGTCAGCAGCAGGAGTGGCAGGCCGAATTGCGCTGCTACGGGAAAGAAAGTGGCTGCTGTGCCTCACAAGGTAAGCACTCTATTAAGTTCCCTTTCTTCCCACTTTTAGTGCGATTTGTACATATTATTAGTATGCTTGACGTCATGTTGCACTTCTGCCTGCTCCCTCCCCTCCTCCCCCACAACCCCCCCTTCTCCCCGCTCTCCCCATCCTCCGCAGCACACCCTTCTACCGTCCCCTCTCCTTCTCCTTTGCTGTTGATCCTTTGCTTAAGCGTCATCATCACTACTGCAGCCCTTGGAACAATGAGTCAAGAAGCTCCGCAGCACACCCTTCTACCGTCCCCTCTCCTTCTCCCCCCTCGTCTCACTCCAAGGCTTCGCCCTTTCACACCTCAGTTGCGGAAGACGCCAGGACCGTCCTGCGTCTAGCGTCTAGACGCTAGACGCAGGGAGCACCCGAGGACACTAGACGCTAGGCCTTCACAAAAAAAAAAAACCCCATTTTTTCATTCATTCGTGTTTTTCTCCACCCCTTCCCCCTTCTCCCCTCCCCCATCCCTCCCCTCCCTTCCTTCCCCTTCTCCCCACCACTCCCCCTCCCAGACACTTCCCAATCCTCCTCTCCACTGCCCTCTGCTGCCTCCTCGCCTTCTCCCTCCTCCTCTCCTTCCAATTCTTCGCCTTCACTCAGTTCTGCCGCCCTGCTAGCACTGCAACGCCTCATGACGTCCCCCCTTGGTGCTTCGACTCTGTTCCCTATATCTACGGCTATGTTCAGCGCAAGTACTGGTGAGAAATGCAAGCAGCAAGCAGCACACTGCCTCTCCTCCTCTCCTTCTCCCACCTCCTCTCCTTCTCCCTCCCCTTTTGCTTCTCCCTCCCCCTCTCTTTCCAAGCCTTCGCATTCACCCAGTTCTGCCGCCCTACTGCTAGCACCAATCTCCACGAGACATCCCCTCCTAATTCTTAAAATCAGTTCCTTGAGCTCCCCCCAAGAATGTGAAAGAATTCAGATACTTGAGTCAACTCCTGAGTCGATCTTTGGGTTGACTCAGAAGAGGGATGTGAGGTTTTTCCAAGATTTTTGAGTGGACTACTGAGTCGACTTTCTGGTCGGCTGAAAAATGGGATGTGAGATTTCTCTTATCACCTGCCCCCTCCTCTTCCTCTCCTTGTCTGCCCCCATTTTTGAGGCGCCTCAAAAGCCGTGTGCATTGAGGTGATTTTTTAGGGTTTAGGCGCCTTTTTGAGGGTTTTTTTTTAGGCGCCTCAAAAACCGCCCCCTCTTCTTCCTCTCCTTGTCTGCCCCCATTCACGATGCAGGGACGTGGGATTTCTTCAGTACTTCCAGTTGAAGCAGCTCCCCAACTTCCTCCTAGCATCACTGCCCCTCCCTTTCACCTCACTCACCTCACCTGCCCCTCCTGCTCCTTCCCCACTACCCCACCTCCCTGCAGGGACGTGGGATTTCTCCGATACTTTCAGTTGAAGCAGCTCCCCAACTTCCTCCTAGCAGCACCCACCCTCCTCCTCGCCCTCTCCGCCATCCTCTCTTTTGCACTCGCCCGCCCCCTCCTCTTCCTCTCTCTTGGCCTCCTCTCCTCTCCCCCCGACCACCACCACCTCCTCTTCCTTCCCTGCCTTGTTCCCTTCCTCCCGTGAGTGCCCCTATCTCCCTGCAGGGATGTGGGATTCCTTCGCTACTTCCAGTTGAAGCAGCTCCCCAACTTCCTCCTAGCAGCACCCACCCTCCTCCTCTCCCTCTCAGCCATCCTCTCTTTCGCACTCATCCGCCCCCTCCTCTTCCTCTCTCTTGGCCTCCTCTCCTCTCCCCCCGACCACCACCACCTCCTCTTCCTTCCCTGCCTTGTTCCCTTCCTCCCGTGAGTGCCCCTATCTCCCTGCAGGGATGTGGGATTCCTTCGCTACTTCCAGTTGAAGCAGCTCCCCAACTTCCTCCTAGCAGCACCCACCCTCCTCCTCTCCCTCTCAGCCATCCTCTCTTTCGCACTCGCCCGCCCCCTCCTCTTCCTCTCTCTTGGCCTCCTCTCCTCTCCCGCTGACCAACCCCACCTCCTCTTCCTTCCACCTCCCAACCACCCGCAAGCCCGGGAAAGGGAGGAGGGAGTGGAGGAGGAAAAGGGGGAGGAAGGGGAGGTGGAGTGGAGAAGATACGACCGTTTCAGTGGATGCAAAGGGTTCTATTCTGCTGCTGCTCTGCCGTTCCTGCTGCAGCTGCTGTTTATGACAGCAGTGGCAACGCTGGTGATGCATGTACAGGTGAGGCAGTGTGAGTGAGAGTGTATGATCCTCAAGGCGCCTCAAGAACATATCCTTGCAGTTTCTGTTTATGACAGCAGTGGCAACGCTGGTGATGCATGTACAGGTGAGGCAGTGTGAGTGAGAGTGTATGATCCTCAAGACGCCTCAAGAACATATCCTTGCAGTTTCTGTTTATGACAGCAGTGGCAACGCTGGTGATGCATGTACAGGTGAGGCAGTGTGAGTGAGAGTGTATGATCCTCAAGACGCCTCAAGAACATATCCTTGCAGTTTCTGTTTATGACAGCAGTGGCAACGCTGGTGATGCATGTACATGTGAGGCAGTTGTCGTAACCAACGTTGGTAACATGTAGAGCTGCTGCACTGCAATTCCTGGCGCTGACTGTGTCTTTCCACCTTGAATAATGCGCTTACACGGCCCCCCTTCACCCCCCACCCTCCTCCTCCATCCCCCTTTCTCGCAACTCCCTCCCTTGTGAGTTTCAGGTGGCCACTCGCTTTCTCTCCTCCTCACCTCCTCTCTATTGGTTCCTGGCACATCTCCTGACGTCATCAATTCCCAATCAGTCTCCTCCCAAAGAAAAAAGCTGGAGATTGTTTATAATAAGGGCATGGATTGGTGCGTCGTTAGGATATGCAGTGATTGGCTCATTGCTCTTCATTAACTTCTATCCCTTCACGTAGGTTTTTTTTTCACCCGTTTTCCTGCTTGGAATGGCATAACCTCCAATATGCTCTTCTCCACTGATTGGCATCAAAGTAAACAATTCAGAACAAGACAAGAATTCACGGAACGAACTTAACAACAGGAAAATTGGGGGAGGAAGAGGGGGAGAGAGGCGTTGGGAGGATTCGAGGAGGTGAGGATGGGGTGGAGGGAAAGGAGGAGAGGAAAGGGAAGAGGCACTTTTGCTTGGCAGATGTAGAAGGGGAAAGTGATGAGGGGTTTTGTAGGGGCCAATGTGGGTAAGTCAAGTCACAGTAGTGATTGCAGCATGAGGGTTGGGAGAGGAAGAGGAAAGATGTGATGAGGGGGAGGTGTTGGGGGTACTTGAGGAGGTAAGGAGCGGGGTGGAGGGGGAGGAGGAGGAGAGGGAAGGGAAGAGGCGCTTCTGCTTGGCGGAGCGGGATGGGGAGGATGGCGGGTCTGCCAGGGGCCAGCGCGGCCTGAGCTCCACCTGATGGTGTATGGATGGGATGGGATGGGATGGGCATGGCAAGTGAAGAGAAAGAAGGGGAGCGAGATGAAAGAAGGGGAGTGAGGGACAAGAGGAGAGAGGATCACTGGGATGGGATGGGATGGGATGGGATGGGATGGGATGGGATGGGATGGGATGGGATGGGATGGGATGGGATGGGATGGGACGCACGGCAAGTGGAGGAAGGGGAGTGGAAGACAGAGGAAAGACGGTGGAGGAGCGGGATTGGAGGATGGTGTGTCTGCCAGGGGCCATCGCGGCCTGAGCTCCACCTGATGGTGTATGGATGGGATGGGATGAGGCATGGGAAGGAAGGGGAGCGACCGAAGAGAGGAAAGAGGATAACTGAGAGCGAAGGGGAGGACGGCGGGTCTGCCAGTGTCCAACGCGGTCTGAGCTCCACCTGATGAAGACATGGATGGGGTGGGGTGAGGCATGGGAAGGGGATAAGACGGAAGAGGAGCACAGGGCAAGGGGAAAGAAGACAGTTGAGTGAGGGGGAGGGCGGTGGGTCTGCCAGGGTCCAATGCGGTCTGAGCTCCACCTGATGATCAATGAGTGGGGTGGGATGGGCCGTGGCAAGTGGAGGAAAGGGAGTGGGAGACAGAGGAAAGATGGTGAAGGAGCGGGATGGGGAGGATAGGGGGTCTGCCAGGGGCCAACGAGGTCTGAGCTCCACCTGATGGAGACATGGCAAGAAACCAAAAGCACGACAGAAGAGTGTGCGACTGTGGCAACGCGTTTCACGTCACCCACAGAATCAACAACGGTTGACCATTGAACATCTACGTTAGCGCCCAATAGCAGTAATACTGAGAAAGATCGGACGAGCTTTCCCGACCTTCCTTACCCTTCATCTGGTCCTGATATTCTTACACACGACCGACATATCTATAGGAAAAAACACTTACATAAGCATCATCAGTCATTTCGTCTACAGCAGGTGGAGGCTCCTTGATTCCCAGTCTGAAGCGCTCGTACCCCGCCCATGCCACCATGACTCCTGAACGAGGAACGTGGGAATAACGGCAGTCGAGGAAGAGGGAATGGGGGGAGGGAATGGCAGAAAGTGGGGTGGGGAAAGGGGAGACATAAGCATCACCATCCGATCTGTCTAGAGCAGGCGGATGCACCATGATTCCCAGTCTGAAGCGCTCATACCCCGCCCATGCCACCATGACCCCTGGCAGGGAGTGAAGAGGGGTTATATGGATGGACATTCGGAAGGGGGAGGAAGAAGATGGGGACTGTCTACAGCAGGCGGAGGCTCCATGATGCCCAGTCTGAAGCACTCATACCCCGCCCATGCCACCATGACCCCTGGCAGGGCGCGAGAGGAAACAGAGAGCACAAGGGATAGGGTAAGCAGGGAAGGGGAATGGGTGGATGGAAATGGGAAAAGCAGGCGGCGGCTCGATCCCCAGTCTGAAGCACTCATACCCCGCCCATGCCATCATCACTCCTGGGAGGGAGAGGGGAAAGAGGGACAGTTGGGGAGGAGAGAATGGGTGGCGGAAGGGGGATTGGGGAAAGGGGAGACATAAGCGTCACCGTCCAATTTGTCTACAGCAGGCGGCGACTCCTTGATTCCCAGTTTGAAGTGCTTGTGAATCAAGGAGTCAAACTGATACGAACGTTTCACTTACCATTACCCTCTCCCCTTGTACAGTACCGAACCACAACTCACCTTCATCAATGCAGAGGCAGGGAGGAGGGCATACCACACGAGCCCCACCCCCGACTGCTTCTGAGTCAACTTAAACGTTTTCCTTACCGCTACCTTCTCCCCTCATACAACCACAAACACAGCCACTCGCCATTGTCGGTGCAGAGGCGGGGAGGAGGGCACACTAGCCTCACTCCCGACTGCTCACAGACTGCTCTTCCTCTGTCCCCTGCACCTACTCCTTCCAAAAAGCCACTGATGCCACTCACCATTGTCCGTGCAGAGCCGGGGAGGAGGGCACACTAGCCTCACCTCCGCCGGCTCGCAAACTGCTGCGATCCGTGACCGGACGACTTGATTAGACGCCACTCCCCCTGCCATCACCTGATAGTTAGACCATAAAAAAGAGGGGGTGGGAGGGCAAAGAAAGCCTGAAAAGGAAGGACTGAAGGGGCAGAGCGGAGGGCACAGCAGGCTCACCCCTCCGCTCTCCCCCAGCAGGATTCACAGACTGCTGCGATCCGTGTGCGGACGACTTGGTTGGACGCCACTCCCCCTGCCATCACCTGATTTGTTGCCGGTGGGGAGAGGGGAGAGCAGAGAAATCGCAAGAAGGAAGGAATGAAGAGGCGGGCGGGAAGGAGGGCAGACGAGCCTGACTTTTGAGTCGACTCAAAAGTCACCTGGGCACATGAGCCTAACACTCCCTTACTCGCAGATTTCTGCACTCCGTGTACGGATGAGCTGATTGGATGTGCAAATGCTCTCCCTTTCTCCACCTCTCCCTCATTATCTCCCTCTGACTCACCAGTGTGTCAATCGCAGGAGTTGATTCTCTCGCCATCTGAATCGCTCGCTCCACTCTGGATTGCAGATGCAGCACTGCCACCTCCTGATTGGGAGCAAACATGGGCACCAAGAGGAAGGAGGGAAAGAGACCTGGGCGACATAGCAGCAGTCGGATTTTGGGTAGACACATCTTCACTAAATATCACGAAGAAGAAGAGGAATGTAATTTGTTTAGTCGACTGAAAAATCAGATCAGATACAACAGGGTTACCTCAGGGATTGTTGCAGGGCAGAGAGTTTTAATGGGGAAACGATTGGTGCAATGGAAAGTAGTTACCTGGAAAGAGGCAGCAATGTCAGCTCGTAACTGCCAACCCTCCGGCGTTGCTTCGGCAATAGGGATGGTTTGAGCTGCCCTGGGAAGGAAGGAGGAATCAGGTTCGGCATGAGAGGTACCGAATAAGTTAGAATAGAGAGGACTGACGAACCTATAAAAGGTTAGGTCAACTCAGGACACACACCATTTTCCACCCATTTCCACCCATTTACACCCATCACCCTCCACACAAGGCCTTACGGTGCCTCCTTTTGAATGCACCGAGCCACGTTTGCCTTGAGTCCTGAAAATGAAAAATCGCAGCTCTTGACACGCGCTAGAGGCACCTGGGTGCGTGCACGGGGGAAAGGAACAGGAACGAGAAGAATGAGGGGAGGGAGGGTTAGCGCAAATATGCAGCGTGCCACGTTCGCCTTGAGACCAGAGAAGGAGAGCTAACGGTGTTAAGTAAGCGACTACTGAAACAAGCCATTCTCTTACAGTGAACTTGAATCTCTCTCTGCTTCCTTCCCTCACGAGCGCCTCAACCACTGCCACTGGCACTCCCATTAGTAACTTTGAGATGACTTACAGAAGCCATTCTCTTACAGAGAACTTGAATCTCTCTCTGTTTCCTTCTCTTGCCAGCGCTTCAACTGCTGCCCCTCCCCCTCCCGGCCCTGACAGGTCGAGACCCAGTAGGCGTGCTGTCTTGTCAAACGCCTGGGAAAGAGGGTAAGTGTAGGGGATTGAGAGGGATTGCGGTGCGTGAAGAAGGCACTGTTTCAACCGCCGCCCCTCCCCCTCCCGGCCCTGACAGGTCGAGACGCAGTAGGCGCGCTGACTTGTCAAACGCCTGGGGGAGAGGGTGGAGGGGTACAGGGGGGTCAAAAGAGGTTGTACGCGCATCAACTGCTCCCCCCTCCCCCTCCTGCTCCTGACAGGTCCAGCCCCAACAGACGTGCTGTCTTGTCAAACGCCTGGGAGAGAGGGCGGAGGGATACAGTGGGGTTAAAAGAGGTTGTAAGCCCATCAACCACAGCCCCTCCTCCTCCTGCTCCCGACAGGTCCAGCAACAGAAGCCATGCTGTCGCCATGCTCCCCCTCCTGTACCCGCCTTTCGGTAACCTCCTCCCTTTCTTGTCAAACGCCTTAGAGAAAGGTGGGTGGAATGAGACGAAGAAAGGGAGAGGTTACCGAAATGACTAGTGCCGCAGATAAGTCGAGAATTTACTGCTGTTCCCCCCTATTTACCCCCCCCCATTCCCTCCCGGCCTTGACAAGTGCAGTGCAGCAACAGCAGGCGCGCTGTCTTGTCAAACGCCTGGGTGATTTCATAAAAACACCTTCCCCAAATCCTTCTACCCGGGGAAACACTCCATCACCCCACCTCATCCAACCGTACCGCACCCCACCACACTCCACCCCACCTCACCCATGGCGTCGTCTAGTGTGGTTCCCATCCCAGCTGAGTGTACTGCCCCACCCAAGCCATGAACCCCCCTATCCCAACCGCCCCTCATCCCACCGCACTCCACCTCACCTCACCTCACCTCACCTCACCCATGGCGTCATCTAGTGTTGTTCCCAGCTGAGTGTACTGCCCCACCCCATGTGACAATAACAGAAGGTTGTGCCCGCCTAGAGGGGACAGAGAGAGGGGAACGAGGGGGGCAGAGGAGAATGTGACAATAACAGAAGGTTGTGCACGCCTAAGGGGGGACCAAGAAGGGAAGGGGGGAACGGATGAGGGGTTGGGATGAGGGGAGGGGAGGAGGATGTGACAATAAGACACCAATAGGAACACATCAATAGTGACACATTGACAGGAACACGCCAAACTCAAACAGAACGCATGGCTAACACGTCTGTTTAATATTAAACACATCTCCTCCCACAGCACCACACCGCACCACACCACACCACACCACACCACACCACACCACACCACACCACACCACACCTGACATCAAAACCACAAAACACCACAAAAGCATCTTCTCTCAAAGCACCACATCACACCTGATATCAAAAGCGTGAGGAAGGGAAAGGCGACGTCTGGATTGGTCAGCCTGCATGCAGCAGCAGCAGTAGGGTGGAGAAACAAAAAGGGACCAAATGTCACAAGCACACATTTGCCATGTGAGCCATTCTCATCATCCCCAATCTCATGCTAATGGGGATGATGGGGATGATGGGGATGCTGGGGGGAGTACCATGTAGGCATGTAGATGGCATGGGAAAACCTACCCACCTCGCCACCAGCGCATGTGCTTCCATGTGGTGGATGGGGATGATGGGAATGCCATGTTGTGCCGCCAACCTCCTTGCCTTCATCACTCCCACTGCCCGTGGATGGCAGGCAACAGACAAAGAGGCGAGTGTTAAGGTGACTTTAGAAGTGGGTTTTCTATTGATCACGCGAGTGAGTGAGTGAGTGAATGAGGGAGTGCGTGAATGAGGGAGTGAGCGAGTGAGTAAGTGATCACGCGAGTGAGTGACTGAGTGAGTGAGCGAGTGAGTGAGTCTGTGGATGAGTGAATGGAGACTCACCTCTCAAACACAGGCTGAGCCCTGGGCCGATCGTGACCGCCACTGCGGAGAGATCCGACGGCTGTAAACTAGCTTCATCCAAAGCTGCTTGGACCACCTGGGCAGGGGAATGGGAACAAGAAGAATCGAGAGCATGAATTTCTTTGATAATCTCAAAATCTCAGTGGTGCGGGATTGAAAGGAAGTGAATGGGATATGGTGTGAATGTAGACAAAGGGTAGTGCAGAGAGCAGGGTGGGGTGGATGGATGGAGAAAATCCGAGTGTGTTTTGTGTCAACAAAAAACACGCCAGGTAAGTAAAAAGAAAAGGAGAGAAGAGGCTAGTTACTGTATGGAACAAATGGTTCTTCTACACTAGTGCTTGATTCAGAAGGCGGCTAAGACAAGGAAGAATACCGGGTCTATGGCCTTCTCATGATCCTCACGTGACCATATATTAATTTCGAGATGTCTCCAAATAAAATTACTATCACACGGCTAAGATTCAAAATATTACCGGGTCTATGGCCTTCTCATGCTCCCCACGTGCCAAAGATGGCACCACTCCTCCCCATTCCGCGTGCACCTTGCCCTGTGGACGGACGGAGGTGGAGGGGAGGAGAGCAGAAGGCGGTAGGGGAAAGGGGGGAGAAAGAGGGAGAAGCGATGGTCTTTTCATGCTCCCCACGTGCCAAAGACGGCACCACTCCTCCTCACTCCGCGTGCACCTTGCCCTACGTAAGGGAGGAGGTGGGGGGTGGGGGGGGGGGGGGGGAGGGGGGGAAGGGGGAGAAAAGAGGGAAGAGGAAAAGGAGAACGGTGAATGAATTCGTGTAGAAGCCTATGGCCTTAAAGAGTACCACAAAGTACCAGGTCTATGCCCACTACATAGCAATGCATGGTACTACATGATACTTCAATGGCACTATGTGACAATGCATGGCACTTCAACGCTCCAACAGGCTCTACATGGCATGGCACCACATGGTTATGCATGGCATGGCACCACATGGTTATGCATGGCATGGCACCACATGGTTATGCATGGCATGGCACTACATCCATGGCTATGCTTGGCATGGTTCTACACGGATCGACATGGCTCTACAAGGCTCTGTTACCTGTGATGCGAGGGCTTCCCCCAAAATTCTCCCATCCGATGTGACCTGCAGCAGGCGGGGGCGGGGGTGGGGGGAGAAGCTCTGTTGAGAAAATAATAGCATATAGAAGGGCAAACAAACTATACTGATTACGACCAAGTCAACCGCATATACAATCACTCCGGCTCTGCAGTCACACTCGCGCTTGCCACAGCAGCACCCGTGTAATCACGGAGTGTTTCCATTCCCAAACGTGCATTACTCCTAACATGGGAATTCGAACCTGGGTGCATTCAAGGCGCCTCTGAAACACGTGTGCTCTCCGGGGAGCTCCCCAGTCACACACTCACTCACCACAGCAGCTCCTGTGTCGTCACAGCTGGTCTCGATCTCAAAAATCATGATGATACCGCCTACGAGCCAGCTGATTTGAAACTGAGGGCAAACCAGCTCTCCAGTCACACACCCACTCACCACAGCAGCACCCGTGTCGTCACAGCTCGTTTCAATCCCGAGAATCATTTTAATTTCGCCACTGGGATTCGAACCCGGGTCACTCATCATTCTTGGCTCCTCCTGCTCCTCCCCCTTTGCCATATCAGCAGCATCACCAGCACTATGAGACGTCTCAGAACTCTCCCCTGCCACGTCAGCAGCATTGAGGACGCTCACTCTGGTACTTCCGATCTGTCTAGGCTTATCCCCAGAAATTCCTGCTAATTGTCTACCCGTGATGTGGTAACCCGCCACGTGGTAGCCCCTCCTGTGGAAACCCCAAGTGGGGTATTCCCTCATGTGGTAGCCTGCTCTCACCCCCTTGGTCTCAAAAACCGTGGGACGTGATAGCAACAGAAATCTCTGTAACGGGTTTTGACGAGATAGCACAGGACTCGCGGGAGGTCCAATCGAGAAAGCTTCTATCGCGGACAAGTAGCTGCTGCGGCTAGTACTAGATTGTGCAATCGGTCCTAAATGTCTGGCCGATATTGCCGGCATTGCCTGTCTCGTGTATCTATTGAGGCTATTAAGTACGCGTCGGGGTAACGCACAGCCTGAAGGCGCGACCCGGTTCATCATATCCGTGTGGCTTACGTGGCACACGCCTAGTGGCGCTCCGGCCATCGCTTGGCAAGTGAACCCCCCACGCAGTAGATCGATGCAAGGAGATATAGGCAGTACGCGATATAAGACGCGGCGACGATAAGAAGGCACCAGGCGGTATTAAAGTTCAGAAATGGCTGGATAAAACGTTTTGCTAAACATCTCGGCGGCCGAACACGAAGCCTTTGCTGTTTCACTCTCTGATCACCCTGTTTGGGAGCGGGAAACTCGGAAACTGGAGAAAAAAATACAGCTCGTCAGGAACCAGATACAAAGGAGCATACGTTATAACGAAGAAGCGAACAAAAGGTGTGGAGCGGAGACCAGGGCTGTTTTCCACCTTTCAATTCAGGCTTGGTTGCGGGGTCAAGCCCGGTTCAATTTCCAGTTCATGTGTCACTTTTCAGGATGGTAGGTAACGGTTAAAAGCGGTGAAGCGAAAATAAGCTGAATGCCGTGTAAGGCTTGACCCGCAGCATTTCACTCGCATTACTCTAAATACCTCCTCTGCTTCTCTCATTCAGGCAGCGGCTTTTTCCAAACAGACTGTTTCCTAATCGCCGTTTCGCCTCGATTCTTATTCCTCTTTTCGCACTTGTCTCCGAACCTGTGCTTTCGTGGCGCTGTTTATTCCGCAATGGCGTCACCTTGCCTACACCTCTCATCCACGCCTAAACTCAGGAATTTGCTAAACGCAGCGTTGGAGGGTCCAGGAACCGTTCCTTCATCTCAGATCGCGGATCCGACGGCCGCCAGCCATTCTGACGATCCGAAGAAAACTGCGCCGTCAGAACTGCCGGCGAAGTTCAAACAGTACTCATCCACCGCAGACGGCGATGCGATTCCGTACGCCGTGATCCGCGCCGCATGGTCCGCTTTACGCGAACGCCACATATTAGATCTCAGCGACCGCAGCGACCCTAGCGAAGCGAGTGGTAACACAAGAACGGGTCAGATTTCGCCTAGCGACAGCTGCGAAACGAGCGAAGTGAAGGAATCAGAAGCACGGGAGGAAGCATCAGGCGTTAGTCCTATACGCAACACCGCGATCAGCGGCAACACAAGCAGCAGCGGCACCGCAAAGAGCGCGATTGCGAGCAGCGAGGAGCGTTTTGATTGGCCTCTGCACGAGGTGCTGAAAGGGTGTCACGTGCTGCTGCCTGCTCCACCCGAGCCTCCAAAGAAGGTACGGCCAGACGTACAAGCCTGGCTCGGTTTGATAGTTCAAAGCTTTTTCTTTCTTTCTTTCGTTTTCTCCCGTTTGATTATCCATCTTGTGTGCTTTTCTCTTCATTCTTGCGAGAATTTTTCAAGCAAGTGTTCCCCCTCTCGCCGTGCTTCCGTCTCCTCTCTGGCGTCCTGCAGAGTGCGGAGCTTGAAGCTCGTCTGGCGGAGTTAAGGGAAGCGGAGGAGCAGAGGCGGTATAGAGAGCTCGTGCGAGATGTGGTTCCCAAGGGAGCAAAAGGGAGAAGGGCGACTGGTGCTGGTGGTGGTGTTGATGATGAGGAGGATTATGGGGGCCAAGGGGGGAGCTCATACCTGGCATCATACAGTGAGCAGCTGGGGTTCGGTAAGTTCTTCTTCCATTCCTTTGTTTTCTTCAAATTCTTACCTGTTGTTGGCTTTGAAGTGACACATTCATTGCTTGCCTTGCCACTGCTGCAGTTGACTGGTAGTTTGGTCAACAATGAGTTTCATGATGATTTCTGAGCCGCCTCAAAATTCACTATTTGCCACTGTCACGGTCAGCTCTGCTGAGTCTTGAGTTTTGTGATTTTGGTGGGCTATTTTTGAGTCGCCTAAACGATTGCCTTGGAAAAATTCGTGACATCCTTTTTTGGCTCTTTGTGAATTCATTAATTTTCTCCGTTTATCCTTCATCCCCGTCCTGAGCAGATTTTCCTTAAACTCCTCCCTGCATACACACCTCCTTTCTGTTTTGACTTCATCCCATCCCGAGCAGGCATGCATGTGGTTGGTGTGATGTTCACCTGTTACCTCTTGGGTCACTATGCTGCTTCTGCTCTAATCAGGGACCAACCTGCCCTAGTAAGATCCACTTTTCAGCTCTGTTGGTGAGCTCCTCTGCCCTGGTAACGGCATGTTACTTCTTGGGTCACTTCGCGGCTGCTGCTTTCATCAAAGACCAACCTGCCTGAAGGGCCCACTAGTAGATTCACTGGTACTGGTAAGCTCCCCTGCTTAGCTCGCTTGGTATTATCAACGTGGTGGGCTATGCAGTCTGGACCAGCAGATTTGCAGTGAAGTTTGGTTTTTTTTTTTCAAAGCTTGTGTCACCAACACCCTGACTTAACCTCCTTGTTTCCTGTCCCCTGCGTTCTTATTTCCCTCACACGACAGCACCCGGTGGGCGGTGCAGTGGGTTTGATATTCGGCATGCTACTGGAAACCACACTCTTCATCATTCGTACAACTCAGCTGGAGAAGCAAGCAAAGCAACGCAGCAAAAAGGCTGCCAAGAAGCAGGGAGTGTCGGTACCAACGCTGTCTGCAAGGCTGGCTGCCAACCAAGGAACTGAGACGGCAGGAAGGAGTACTGGTGGTGTTTCTGTGGGTTCTGAGGAGTTTGATGCGGTGCGGCAAGGGTTTATTGAATTGGCGGGGAGACGGACGAAAGGTGCTGAAGTGTCAGGTTCTTCAGGGGGTTCTATAATGAGGCGGCGAAACGTGAGGCAATCTGGTGATGATTAGATTGGCAACGTGCGTTGATTGGTTCATGTTGGTTCACCTCGATTTGATATGTATGTACGCAAGATATCATTCAGTACGAACCTTTGCTGGCTGACCATACATGTGCCCAAGAGTAAGGGACATCTGTACAAGCTGCCTTGAAGGTTGCATACATTCCCAAGCACCCAGACACACTGCACAATGTCCTGCACTGACACGTAACCTGGCCAAGGAAACGAGGAGAATGCTGTATTAGCAAGGAGTATTCCACTTCGTCAAATCAGAACAAGGGATATTCCTTGGGAGGGCAAACCAAGGCAGCCACATCAGCTCCTGCAATCCGCCTATGTGCAAACAATCGATATACATTACGCAAAGCTACCCTGTTGCGACAGAGCATGCGATGATTCCTGCGACTAAGCTTAGTCCTCATAAATCCTGCACTCGTCAGCAGCGGGATTGTCGTCGCAGAAAGCATCAAGAGGGTCCTTCTTCTCCTCGGTCTTCTCAGCAGCAGCAGCAGCAGCAGCAGCAGCAGCCTCCTCTGCCTTGGCCTTCTCCTCCGCAGCCTTCTTCTCCTCAGCCTCCTTGGCGTCAGGCTGAGCCATGGCGACAATGCGGACAGCACGGACGCTGCGGACGGAGAGCGAGGAGGACTTCAGGGAGGCGGTCTGGACGAAAGAGCTGCGCCTGAAGGCGACAGCGGAAGAAACACCGGCAGAGACCGCAAGAACGGCAGCCATTGCTAAATAGTTACCAAAATACGGTCTCCTAACGGTCTTTGGAGCAGGATTGGATGGAACACCCTAGAAAATGCGTGACCAGACAAGAAACGAGAATGCGTCTTGCCTTGAAACTCCAATTTCTCTCGTCGGAAGAGTATTCAAGCACAACCAGACATTGACGGACAAGCTGACGGAGTTCCTGAAAAACGGACGGAATTGCTGACGGTTTCGCGAGTTCCTGCTAGTGCTGAAGCCGGTCCCGAGTGCCGCACCTTCGTGGCTTGACGACGGTACACGTGGTGGATATTGCCACGCTCGTAAAAGCAGAGGGGCCAACATCATAGACATGCAAATTAGTCTGGTAACCCTATTCGATGGTATGCAAAACCGTCGATACCCCAGTTCTGCTGCGCAAAATTGTCTGGTAGCGCCACTCAAAACACTGTGTAACAGCTGACGCAGCACAGAAAAGGAAGAAAATATGTGATTGAATCAGTTGCGTTTTCGATTTCGTATCGTCGTGGTTCTTACCGCGTCTTGTTCGGCGCCTAACAAATATTCCTGCCGGCTACTATTTTCCGCTAAATGTGACGAAAAATCCACTGGAATGAAAGGCTACGGGGTCCATTTCGATAACATTAATTTGGACCAATATATTGCTACCGGGAAATGTAGGGGCAGGGCAGAAAAACAATAAAACCCCTAGGGACCTGGACGCATTTCTGGGAGGGATCAACCCTAAACACGGGAAAGGACATTGTTTTTAGGGTTGATGCCTCCCTGACGCATCCCTTTCCGAAGAAATCACGTCTTAGCGCGAAGGCAAGCGCGGTAAAGATCAAATTTGAATTAAAAACGAACGCGCTTTCAGGGCAGCATGTCAATAACTTGCAAACAGAGGTAAGACGGTTTTGCATACCATTGGATAGGGTTACCACACTAATTTGCATGTCTATGATGTTGGCCCCAAGCAGAGGGCACGGGCACCTCTAGGATGATTTGATCTGACACGTGGAACAGACTAGGGCCAAGAAAGTCGGGAAAGATGGCCAGGCCGAGGTCGAATTGCCACGCTGGCGAGGTGGAAGTCTCGGAAACTTGATCCAATCCAGGTCACTTGCTGAAACATTTTCCAGCTCCGCATTTGCGAAATTGAGGTCAATGTCGTAGATGCATTTCGGTGCTTTACATTTTCGAGAGGATAAAAAGGTTTTGGCGACACTCAAACCAAGGCCCCAGAGCCATTCGCGGTGTTACATATCCCGGTACAGAGACATTCAAATCACAAATTGTATGCGCGATATATATTTATTCCCTCTTGGCAATTACTGCTTGACGCATTGTCAACCAATTACACCTGTCACCAGGGGCCACATACGGTATATGTTGCGGACCGTGGCACCAAGACATGAGACTAATATCATCATCTGCGCTTGAAAATCCCACACTCAATGGCATTCACGCCTGAGCTGGTGGTGAGTGTTGTTTCTTCTTGAAAAAAACAAAACAGGTTCCTTTCTGTGGTTGATTTCAGGTGCTGAGAGGCAGCAAGAGACCCTCCATTTGTTCATGCATACTTTGCTGAACCCACGGCACCACCCTCCGGCAGCAATTGAAACCTCAACGACTATTTTGTTCAGTAGGAGGACATAGCCTTCACAACCATTGTTTAGCCGGGTCAAACCAGAAGTTATATATGAACAGCAAAACGAGCAGGCATAGCTCAGCCCTTGCCAATTAAAATTCCGTCTATGGACATCATGGCTAGGCTAATCTGACTGACTAAGAAACCCCATAAGCGTACCAGTAAATCGTTCAGTCAGAGTAAATCCTGCACTCATCCTCAGAAGGATTCTCGTTGCAATACTTCTCAAGGGGATCCTCATAATCCGCTTGCTTCTGCTTCAAAGCCTGATCAGCAGCAGCAGCTGAGATCTCCTCCACCTCATCCCACGCAGCAGCGCACTCAGCGGTGGAGTTGGGATCGGAGCAGGTTTCTTGAGCAGCAGCAATCTTCTCCTGAATCTCCTTCTTCAGATCAGGCTGGGCCATAGCCACGATGCGGACGGCACGGGTGCTGCGAACGCTGATGGGCTTCGCAGACAACTTCAGCGACGAAGTCTGGACGAAAGAGCTCGAGAGAGCAGCAGCAGCCGAAGCAGAGACCGACGCGAGAACAGCCATGATAAACTATGACGCGTTGATGCGATAGTCGAGTCGGTCTAACGGCGGGATTAGGACGGGAAGGGCTGTGAGCTAATCTTGCCTGCGCGAACTGTTTAGAGTTTCCAAACGTCAAGGAATATGTACTGTTCCCAATCTGAACGCCCTCACGCAACACTAGGCGGAAAGTTTTCCTGGTTCCTTGCGGAAAATGTGGTGTTTGGATGTTCGAGAGTGGTTTTGGATGGTGAACAACATTTACGAGGGGTGAGGGGGTTTTCCAAACCGCCCAGTGGTGAGCTGTCCCCGCATGGTGGCGCCGCCAACACGAGAATGAGCTGGAAGGCCTGGGGGAGTACGGGGAAGCAACGCGCCAAGCCCCAAGAAGTGGGACAGCAAAGCAGAGCAAGATTGTTCCATTAGACGCATGCCTCGTTTGGGATACGTGTAATGTGTCAAATTACAAGACTCACTTTGCCATGGCTGCTAAATTGAAAAATGTCATCCCGAATCACTAACCAGGTCATTAATTTTGTTTTCGTATATGACGACAAATGGTCAACCCACAAACGTCTGTACACAATTAAAAAAAAATCCATGCCTATTTACATGCAACAACATATGCAGATATTACTATCAGAGCAAGAATAATACATTCTCGTATGACTGCAATTTGATCTTATAGCATATGCACCCACACTTGCTTATGATGACCCTCGTCACCAGCACCAGTATCCACATCATCCAAGCCAGCATCCACCATACCATCACCTCCATCTCCCTTCCTCACTCTTCCGTCACCCTCCTTTCCACCCAAAACTAACGCATCATCCCCACTATCCACCCCACCCCTGCCCCCAAAGCCAAACCCACTTCCGAACCCACTCCCTAATCCAAATCCCCCAGCCCAGCTCCCCCCACCTATCCACTCCCCATCTCCATCATACCTCCTCACATACTCCTCTCCCCCCACCTCTCCTCCCTTGAACCCTGCCAAATACACATCGCCTCCAGACGATCCCCCATACAGCTGCTGCTGCCCCCCTCTCTCCTTCTCCCTGCTCCTCCAACTGCTGTACCCCATAAAAGCCAGGTACGATACAAGGCACAGGAGCGTGAGAGAGAGGAGAACAAGCAGAGCAATGGTATAACCCGGCATGGAGGAACCAGTTGAAGGGCTCGTGCCATTATTGCTACCACCAGTACTACCACCACTGCTGCTGCTGCTGCCACTGCTGCCATTGCCTGCTGCCTCCCCTTGATCCGGAGCCTGGCTCTTCACACCAAAGTCCCCGATCTCCCCACTGACCTGATTCAACGCATCAAACGCAGCAGGAGCGGAGTAATCACCTGCCTCCTTCACCCCTCCTGCACTGCCATTGCCAGCACCACCACCGCCACCACCACTACCACCACCACTGCCACCACTACTACCACCAGCACCAGCAGCATCAGGCAGCGGTCCTGGGCGGGAGATTTGGGAGAGGTCAAGAGTAAACCGCTCCACGTGCCGCTCCTCCCAGCGGGCCTTCTGCTGCCACGTCACGCCCTCCAGGTTCACAATGCTGTAGGTCGGTGGGGCTACAGTCTTCAAGCGCTCGCCTGTAGCCGGGTTGAAGGATACCTGGAGGAGCAAGATGGGGGTGGGGACAGGGTGGGGGAGGAGATGACTACCACCAGCATCAATACCAGCAGCACCAGGCAAAGGACCCGGGCGGGTAATCTGAGAAAGGTCAAGAGTGAAGCGCCCCACGTGTCTCTCCTCCCAGCGTGCCCTATCCTGCCACGTCACGCCCTCAAGATTCACAATGCTGTATATTGGGGGAGTCACTGTCTTGAGCCGCTCTCCTGTCGCCGGGTTGAAGGACACCTGCTTGTTGGACGAAGGGGGTGGGGGTGAAAGGAAGTAACTACGGATTTCCTTCTTGTGTGCCGCACCCCCCACCTGCTTGAACTTTACGACTTTTGAGGCGCCACAAAAGGGTGGGGGTGAGAGGAAGTAACTGAGGACAACCTTCCTGTGTGCCGCACCCCCCCCCACCTATGTTGAAGTAGGGTGTTTTTGAGAATGCTCAAAAACATTCTGTATGCCGGCCCCTCCACCTATGTTGAAGTAATTCTGAGAGTTCTCAAAAGTAAACTCAACAGAAGATGGGGGTGGGGGTGAAAGGAAGTAACAAAGAAAATCCTTCCTGTGTGCCGCTCCCCCCCCACCTGCTACTTCCCTGACTGGCCCCTCACCTGCCTTGCTCACACTGTGCTGAACCCCCCCCCCCCCCTGTGAGTCTGTGACAACCCCATAGGCATATCCTCACCTGCCCTGTTGTTCCTGTGAAGTTGATGCATCCTCGCGGCACGCCTTTGAAGCACGCCAGCACAAGCTCCTTGGTGGGTGCTGAATCTGCAAGTTGGAAACACACATGGGGAAACACACACATGGAAACACACACATGGAAACACACACATGGAAACACACACATGGAAACACAGAAACCAATAATGGGCTTCAGAACGGTTTAAAATGCCTTTGAAACACTCTGGCACAAGCTCCTTCGTGGGTGGTGCATCGTCAAGTTGGAGACACACACGTGGAAACACACGGAACAATGCTGGGCTTTAAGACGCCTCTGAAACACTCCGGCACAAGCTCCTTCGTGGGTGGTGCATGTATCCTTCTGGCCGCTGCACCCATCCTTATGGCCGCTGCACCCATCCTTATGGCCGCTGCACCCATCCTTATGGCCGCTGCACCCATCCTTATGGCCGCTGCACCCATCCTTATGGCCGCTGCACCCATCCTTATGGCCGCTGCACCCATCCTTATGGCCGCTGCACCCATCATTCTGCCCGCTTGACCCATCAACCATAGGGAAGGTCGAAGAGACAACTCACTCTGGCTGGCGATGATGCTGCTGAAGGCCTCGAAAAATAAATAAATAAATAAATAAAAACAGGTACGGCACGTATTGGCGGGTGGTGTTGAAGCGGGGGAGTGAATGGGGTGGGGGGAAAGGTGGGGCAGGGAGAGAGAGACCAAAGTCGGCCCCACACCCCATCCACCAAGACACTCACTCTGGCTGGCGATAATGCTGCTGAAGGCTTCAAAAAACGCGTGAACGGCGTCAAAGAGGTATGGCACGTATTGGCGGGTGGCGTTGAATCGAGGGAGCGGGAGGGGGAAGGGAGGGACCCTAGTCGTTTCTTCGCTGGATGGTGGGATCCCCACCCACTGAGACACTCACTCTGGCTGGCGATAATGCTGCTAAAGGCCTCAAAAAACGCGTGAACGGCGTCGAACAGGTATGGCACGTATTGGCGGGTGGTGTTGAAGCGGGGGAGTGGGAGAGGGAGGGAGGGCCCAAAGTCACCCCACACACCAGACCCACCGAGGCACTCACTCTGGCTGGCGATGATGCTGCTGAAGGCTTCAAAGAAGGCGTGAACGGCATCGAACAGGTATGGAACGTATTGGCGGGTGGTGTTGAAGCGGGGGAGGGAGAGAGGAATGAGGGGGAGTGAGGGGAGGAGGGTGGGGGGAGGAAGAGAGGTACCCACACACCAAGACACTCACTCTGGCTGGCGATGATGCTGCAGAAGGCCTCGAAAAACGCGAGAACGGCGTCAAAGAGGTAGGGCATGTATTGGCGGGTGGTGTTGAAGCGGGGGAGGGAGGGGAGGGAGGGATGGGAGGGACCCAAGTCACCCCCACAACCCGTCCACCAAAACACTCACTCTGGTTGGCGATAATGCTGCTGAAGGCCTCAAAGAAGGCGTGAACGGCGTCAAAGAGGTACGGCACGTATTGGCGGGTGGTGTTGAAGCGAGGGAGGGAGAGAGGAATGAGGGGGAGTGAGGGGAGGAGGGTGGGGGGAGGAAGAGAGGTACCCACACACCAAGACACTCACTCTGGCTGGCGATAATGCTGCTGAAGGCCTCAAAGAAGGAGTGAACGGCGTCAAAGAGGTAGGGCACGTATTGGCGGGTGGTGTTGAAGCGGGGAAGGGGGAGAGGGAGGGAGGGACCAAAGTCACCCCACAAACTAGACCCACCAAAACACTCACTCTGGTTGGCGATAACGCTGCTGAAGGCCTCAAAGAAGGCGTGAACGGCGTCAAACAGGTACGGCACGTATTGGCGGGTGGTGTTGAAGCGGGGGAGTGAAGGGAGGGAGGGATGGGAGGGACCCAAGTCAACTCCACACACTAGACCCACCAAGACACTCACTTTGGTTGGCGATTATGCTGCTGAAAGCCTCGAAAAAGGAGTGAACGGCGTCAAACAGATATGGCACGTATTGGCGGGTGGTGTTGAAGCGGGGGAGAGAAGGCCCGACGTCGAGAGTGAGCAAGCCCGGGTAGATGTCATGCCTCTTGGTCCGCCAGTGCATTATATATTCCCATATGGGGGACGAGTCCGAGTAGTCGCCCTCTGAAGCGTGTACCGTGTATGGGTAAGGAAAGAGGGGAGCAAGGAAGTGAGCAATCCAGGTCCAGGGTAGATGTCATGCCGCTTGGTCCGCCAGTGCCTTAAATATTCCCATATGGGGGACGAGTCCGAGTAGTCGCCCTCTGAAGGGAGGGATTGACAAGGCAAAAGGGAGGGGGCGGGCTATGAGGCAGGTTAAAGTGAGCAAGCCCAGGTAGATGTCACGGTGCTTGATTCGCCAGTGCATTATATATTCCCATATAGGAGACGAGTCCGAGTAGTCTCCCTCTGAACAACGGCAAAGGTGGGGAAAAACAAGGGCAAAAGGGAGGGGGCGGGCTATGAGGCAGGCTTGATGGCTAGAGTGAGCAGGCCGGGGTAGATGCCAAGCGAATTGGTCCGCCAGTGCATTATATATTTTCATACAGGGGTCGAGTCCGAGTCCAAGTAATCTCAACAGTAACGAATAGGCGTTTATATGGGACTCCCATAAAGCTGCCTTGTTGTGAAGGAGGACTCTCCCACCCTTTGCATTCCCATCCCACTTACTGTAAGGAGCGACCCCCATCTCCCCTTGCAGTGCTGTTGCTAAGGCTGACAGGTTCTGACCTGCAGCGGTGAAGGGAATGAGCAAGAGTACAGGGAAAAGGTTCCTCAAAAATTGATTGAGCAGCAACGGGAAGTACAAATCTCACTTTCCCCATGGTCCCATTCCCCAGTTTCAACTTTCTCAGACCCCCTATTCTCACCTTCCCCCACCAGGTCGAATGCTACTACCCCATCCGTGCCGAAACACCACCAGGGTTACCCTAACCAGCTCTACAATCAGGCCAGGCCACTGCTCCCCAGTCTAGTCTCACCTTCCCCCACCAGATCAAATGCGACCGCCCCATCCGTCCCGAAATACCACCAGGGGTATTTCAACCGACCCTGGTGGTTTCCCAGTATCCCCTTTCCCCAGTTTCCCCCTTCCCCGGCCCCCCCCCCTTCTTACCTTCTCCCACGAGATCGAATGCCACTTTTCCATCTGTGGCAAATTATATTCCATCACCCAACGTTCTCCCCTTTCCCCTATCGCCCCCTATTCTCACCTTCCCCCACGAGATCGAATGCTACTGCTCCATCCGTGCCGAAATACCACCAGGGGTACTCCAACCGACCCTGGTGTGTTGGTGGTGGAGAGGGAAAGGGGGGAGGGAAAGGGGGGAGGGAAAAAGGTGAGGAAAAGGGGGTAGGGAGGAAGTGGAGAAAGAAACCCGCAGTTTGGTGCCATCCGTGCAAAAATACCACCAGGGGTACTCTGTTAAGCCCTGATGGTTTCACAAGAGGCGGGGAGGGATTGGATAGGCGGGGAGGGATTGGAGAGACCAGATTTCACGGGGACGCCATGCCTCTCTTTGAGACGTCTCAAAACATGCCACTCAGCAGGTCTAGAGCGGCCCGCCATATCCCTTTGGCTGCGTTGCGTTGGACGAGACAGTGAGGACCACAACTGTCGAGACAGTGAGGACCACAACTGTCGAGACAGTGAGGACCACAACTGTCGAGACAGTGAGGACCACAATGTCGAGACAGTGAGGACCACAACTGTCGAGACAGTGAGGACCACAACTGTCGAGACAGTGAGGACCACAACTGTCGAGACAGTGAGGACCACAACTGTCGAGACAGTGAGGACCACAACTGTCGAGACAGTGAGGACCACCACTGTCGAGACAGTGAGGACCACAACTGTCGAGACATCCGCTCGAATTAGCGGCTTGGACGGGAGAGTTTCAAAGAGGAATATTCAGGGAGGTTTCTCACCAATACTGCCCTCCACTCACCAGGTCTAGAGCGACCCACCATATCCCCTTGGCTGCATTGGGTGAGATGGCAAGAACCACCACTGTGGAGTCATCAGCTTGAATGAGGGGCTTGGAGGGGCTTTGGTGGCCTTGAGAAGTTCAGATTTTGAGGGAAATTCATTAAGGGGTTTCCAACAATGTTGCTGTACCGCTCACCAGCTCTAGAGCCGCACGCCATATCCCCTCGGCTGCATTGGGCGAGACGGCGAGCACCACCACTGTGGAGTCGTCAGCTTGAATTAACAGCTTGGAGGGGCTTAGGTCGGTGAGGCTGAGGAAGAGAGCAGATACTGAGGGGAATTCACCAAGGGTTTTCTTCAGTGCTGCTGCAGCACTCACCAGGTCTAGAGCGGCCTGCCAGATGCCTTCAGCTGCATTGGGTGAGACGGCGAGGACCACGACTGTGGAGTCATCGGCTTGAATGAATGGCTTGGTAGGGCTTGGGTTGGAGAGGTTGAGGAAGAGAGAGGAGTAGTTGGAGCAGGGCACTGGCACGGGAATGCTTTGTACTGTCAGGTTGTCACTGCGAGCGAAATACTGAGAGAGGGAGAGGGGCGGGAGGGAGGGTGGGGACGGGAGGGGGGTAGAGGAAACATGGATTAGATTAGGGGGCTTGGCGGGGCTTGGGTCGGTGAGGTTGAGGAAGAGAGAGGAGTAGTTGAGGCAGGGCGCTGGGACGGGTATGCTCTGTACCGTCAGCTTGTCACTGCGAGCAAAGTACTGGAGGGGGTGGGGAAGGGGGGTGAGGGGAGAAGAGGTCAGAGGGGAAAGGGGGTGACGCGAGGCATCAAACACAGAGAGGAGAAGTTGAGGCAGGGCACTTTCAGATTGTCCTTCCGCTCTCTCCGTGAGGAAGAGAATGATTTGTGCAACAGAATGATTTGTGCAGCAGAAATATTTCTGCAAACCCCAAGGTACATGATCAGTGGAACAAGATGATTTCCGTTTCCGCTTGCTTCCCCAAGGTACATGCTGAAAAGCCTCATCGCACCGAGAAGATCTGGTGCCGAGATTTGTCACAAATCTTATCGCAATGTCATAGCCGAGCGCTGAGCCATATGTGTGTTCCGTGAGGGGCATGCGTAGTCATGCACACATGCTCATATGCATGCCTGCATGCTTGTGCACATTAAGACATCTCGCCTCAATGTCATAGCCAAGCGCGGAGCCATATGCGTCCTCTGTGAAGATCAGGATGACTCGATCAAACACACAGGGACACATGCATGCACGCATGCACCAAACCACACATGCCATCACCAAGTGCGCATGCACCAAGTGCGCTGCGCCCCAATCACCTCTACATCATAACCAAGTGCTGAGCCGTACGTGTCCTCTATGACTCGGGTCAAACACACCAAGGCACCTGCCACAACGCCTCTGCGCACACCAACAAATCTCACCTCGATATCATAACCAAGTGCTGTGCCGTACGTGTCCTCTGTGAAGAACAGAATGACTCGATCAAACACAAACTCTTGAAGCAGAGAGCGCATGGCCGCTGCCTGGTGCCTGTCGCCAAAGCTGCGGGGGATGGTGTGGATGGTGGGCATGGAGGGGGGTGGAGGGGGGATGGAGTAGGATGGAGGGGGGTGGAGGTGGGATGGAGTAGGATGGAGGGGGGTGGAGGTGGGATGGAGTAGGATGGAGGGGGGTGGAGGTGGGATGGAGTAGGATGGAGGGGGGTGGAGGTGGGATGGAGTAGGATGGAGGGGGGGACCAAGAAGGCAGGGAAAGAAACATGTCTCCAGTAAAGAACAGCATGACTCGCTCAAACACTAACTCTTGCAGTAGGGAGTGCATGGCTGCTGTGCCGTACGTGTCCTCTGTGAAGAACAGCATGACTCGCTCAAACACTAACTCTTGCAGTAGGGAGTGCATGGCTGCTGCCTGGTGCCTGTCGCAAAAGCTGCAGGATTGGTGGGGATGGAGGGGATGCGTGGGGAAGGTGGCTGCTGCCTGGTACCTCACACAGTGCGGAAAAATGAGCCGAGTCTCTGAATCCATCCCACGTGGCAGCTAATGAGACGATGGGAGCACCAGCAGAGAGCCGCCGGTTGAACCATCTCAACCCAACTTAACCGAATTCCACCTTCCCTCAACTCACACAGTGCGGAAGAATGAGCCAAATCTTTCCCGGTCTCTGAACCCATCCCATGTGGCAGCAAACGAGACGATGGGGACGCCAGCAGGCACGAGCACGTCTGCTGCTCCCAATGCTGCCTCTGTGCACGCCGGGCCCACCACTCCTACCACTCCATCTCGTAGCAACAACTGCAAGGGTGACAGTTAGAGACAGGCGTGAGGAGCGGCGGAGAGGGGCAGAGAGGGATGGGGAGGGGTGGAGAGACACTATGGGAACACCAGCAGGCACGAGCACGTCTGCTGCTCCCAGAGCTGCCTCTGTGCACGCCGGACCCACCACACCCACCACCCCGTCCCTTAGTAGCAGCTGCAGGGGCAGACAGGCAAAAACAGGGTTCTGAGTAAAAGAATGGGAGCGCCAGCCGGCACCAGCAGGCACCAGCACGTCTGCTGCTCCCAACGCTGCCTCTGTGCACGCTGGTCCCACCACACCCACCACTCCATCCCTTAGTAGCAGCTGCAGATGCAATGCAACAACAGGGAAAGGAATTCATTGAACATGGACACAGCGCTGCAATGTAGCTCTCTGCTGCTCCCAGTGCGGCCTCTGTGCACGCTGGACCCACCACACCCACCACACCCACCGCCCTGTTCTTCTCACAGGACCCAGCATCACATGCACCCTGCCCCCTGCGCTCCCCCCTGCCAGCCCCCTCTCACCTGCGCAGCCTCACAGGCCTCCTGGCGGTTGCAGTTGGAGTTGGCAATGTGCGGCACCACATCACAGGGAAAGGCCATTCGAGCACCTAGGAGGGCCCAGAATCCACGGGCAAGCTTCAGGGCACCTGCTCTTTGCAACTGCCTCTATGCAAGGCGATCCAGTCCCCCTATGCTCACCCTTCCTCCCCTCACCTGCGCAGCCTCTTTGGCCTCCTCCCTGCCGCAGCATAAATGGGCAATGTGCGGCACCACATCAAAGGCGTCAAAGAGTATTTTGAAAGGACAAACGCAGCACTCCCAGGAGGGCTAGAATCGCATGCACTCAGACCTCCACACTCACCCCACCCAACCCCCTCTCACCTGCGCAGCCTCTTTGGCCTCCTCTCTGTCGCAGTTGGAGTTGGCAATGTGCGGCACCACGTCAAATGCGTCTGAGTATTTGGGGCCTAGCACCTCCAATGCCACTCGTGATGCTGCGATCCTGAAGGGGAGAGGACCATGGTGACGGGGTGAGAGGGAGATAGACGCGGAGTGGATAGCGGTGGGCAGGGCAATGTGTGGCACCACGTCAAATGCGTCCGAGTATTTGGGGCCTAGCACCTCCAGAGCCACTCTTGATGCTGCGATCCAATCCTGGTGGGTAGTGTTGATGGGAGAGGGAATAGCAGTGTTAATATAATAAGCAATGTGTGGCACCATGTGTGATGCTGCGATCCTGAACCAGGGGGGAAGTGCTGATGCGAGAGATGAGGGCATTGCTGACGGATGTTGAGCAAGTAAACCGGAAAAAGAAACCGAGAAATGAGGCGATTTGGGGGGATGCGCGTACCATTCGTCTGCGAGGCGCACGGGAATGACGTTGTCGGCTTTAGGGTAGGGCAGCAGGAACCCGAGCTTCACCACCTGCCGAACCGAACCAGCAGCTTCGGCTTTCAGGCTCGGCGAGAGCGAGCAGAGCAAAGCGATGACGAGCAACAGTGGGAGCACATGCGACCGTATTGAGCTGCACATGTGTGACTGTAGACGGATGTGATTATACGAGTGTGCTGCAAGGAACCTTCCCAGTTGCCATCGAGTGTCAGCCATTGCAAGATCAAGAAGGCAGGTATTTTAAAATGTCGCGAAGATCAGGAGGTCAGGTAACCACTTGTAACAGGTGACAGGCAAATTCGCAAAAGCTTTTGCGAAACGCTCGTTTCTCAGTAAGCAGCTTAGGAAGAATCTCACTTCGACTGGCACACCTAGAAGTATGTGGCACTATACGTTTCGGCTGTTTCGGCTGACTGTTACGGCTGACCGGTTCGACTGACTATCGTTAGCTGATTTCTGGCGCTTCGCTTCTCAGTAAACTGAAACTATCTCACTGTCTTTCCCATTTCTCATTTCGCACACCCTAAGTCCGTCGTTTCGGCAACCTTTATGGCGTCTCTTCTTTTGCTTTCTAGGTCGCCGGCTTGTGAAATGTCTCGATAGTACTTTGATAGTAGGTCGAATCGAAGCCGTATACGTGAGCTCCAGTCGTATGCAGTATACACGATGTCAAGCTAACAAACTCGAATCAGACACAGGTAGAAGGGAGGCTCTCAGGGGAATTGAGGGCAAGCAGCCGAAGCTGGGATAGTGTAATCTCCAGCCTTTTGTACCATACACGATGTGGAGCTAGAAACTCGAATGAAAAACGACTTGAATGAGGTAACTCTAATGAGCAACAAGAACAAGCTCCTAGGAAACACACACTGTCAAAGCTTCTGTCAAAGCTTCTGTCAAGCTTTCTTTCTCCTCCCTCATCGTCCAGTGCGGTTCACTAGGTTACCACACGGTGAACGTAAAAATCTTGCCGTTCACCGTTTACAAACGCACCAAACCGCGGTACCGTTCGACATTTGAACTTGGAATGTTTCTGGTCAGCGTCGAGGACACTTGTCGCACAACAAGTACGGTTTTGGCGCAACGTCGAGTCGCGATAGGGACTGAAAGACGATGACAGGCGTCGCATCCACTAAGAAGCGTCGATTTGTGTAAGGCTGTCGGTGGCGAAGCTTGACGCGGTGATTGCGACAGACCGCTATTGGCTGGTAATGTCACCGCAGTCAGTTCGGGAAGAGCGTGGCGCAGGCGGAAGAATCTGGGTGCAGGTTGGAAGATTAGAGAACAGTGATAGTTCTAGTAGAACTGAACAAAACATCAGATAGTAGTACGCCGTTTTGGGAAATGAATAAAAATGTATATTTTCGAAAGTGTTACACTTTCTAAAATGACTTATTGTGAAAGCGCAGCAGCTTGTACGCAGCACAAAAAGCCATCGTCGAAGCGCTACTCGCCCTTCTCCGACTACAAAAGAAGGGGTTTCGGCCATTTGGCCTCACCCACGTTTTCATTTTTCGAAATTTCAAGTTCAGTTTTTGCCCGTCAAGCTGGCGAAGACTCGTTCCCTACCTCGCTTCCAGTCTCCCTCTACTCTGTTAACGGACATCCTCAACTACAACCTATATACTATGGCGCCGACTAATACCAACCAAGACGAGGGGACAAACGGGAACGCCCGACCTTTTTCCGAGTCCGGAAAAAAATCGGGGGAACCCGACCGACGCCCAAAAAGGAAGGCGCCTTCAACCGCTGTGGAGGTTCTGCTCGGAGGAGAACCGAGCGAAGCTCCAGCCGCTGCACCTCGCCCCAGTCAGCAGCAGCGCGTGGAGCGCGCCCCTGGCGAGAAGGTGCCAGACGCGGCTGACGTCACCCCAGCCGCCTCTGACGTCGCGCCTGACACAGGCACGCGCGGTCAAGGCAACCGCGCGCCGGCGAAGCCTGACGGCCACACGCCTGCACCCCCCAGCTTCGACCCCCCCAAGCTTGTCGCCGGACCAGATAACAGCGCTACTGGCGCTGTTAAGCTTGTCGCCGGACCAGATAACAGCGCTACTGGCGCTGTTACAACAGCAACAAACTACAGCAAATCGTTCTACCTCTGCAAACGATACGAATTTATCTGCAAAGCCAGAAAAAAAAAATGCGAGTCCTCCCCGCCTCCTCGTGCCGCTAAGCTGCCGCGCCATGTGGAGACACCGCTCAACCCGGCCACCACCGCGCCTCTCGATGAGCCCAACGAAGACAGCGACAATGACAGCGAAAATGGTGAGGCCCCTCACGTCGTCAATTTTCCGCCTATCCTCGCGCACCTCCCGCCTCTCCCGTCTCCTAACCCAAGCGTGGCCGCAGCTTCGTTCACCCGCAAGGGTGTTCGCGAGCAAGCAGAAGTCTTCGAGGCTCTGCTAGCGTACCTGAAGCACGCCGACTTCAAGGCACGCCGAGGTGACGTCGAAGGCGCGCTTACCCACATCGCTCAAGGACAAGCGCTCATCATGAAGCGCTTCGAGGTGCTGCAGGTAGCAGACGCGGTTGGATTCGACACTGCCGACCGCTACCAGCTGTACCAGGCGAAGAGCATTCTGACCTCCCGTCCGTTCAAGCAGGCGGCGGCGGATGTCGCGGCGGCCAAACGGACCTACGCTACCTACGCCCGCGGCACCCGAAGCCACGCACGCGAGACATCATTCAATCCCAAGGCCTCTATTCCTGCTACCTGCAGCACCCGGCCCTTCAAGGGCTCCTGCTTTCGCTGCGGGCAGATGGGGCACATGGCCAACGCATGCCCCTCGGGTGGCCCGGGCGCACAAGGCCCTGCACCGGTGGTGTGAGGCGTATAACCTCCAAGTGCTCAAGGCGGATAGCCTTGAGCTCACCCCTGGGAGGGGAAGGAGCAACCGCACCAGGGGGTGCAAGGCCAGTGGCCAGCCCGGGGGGGTAAGGACCAGGGGTCCTAGGACCCAATGTCCTTAGCTTGTTGTTCAAGCTTGGGGAATGAGCGCGGGGGCACACATCTTGCTAGTGCGTAGGCCTTGGTGGCCCTTTTAAATATTGCTTGCGTGTAGGCCTGGAGGCCTTTTCCATATTGTGCTTGTGTGTAGGCCTGGTGGCCCTTATATATATTTCGCTCGTGTGTAGGCCTTGGTGGCCCTCTATGCAAATGCTTGTGTGTAGGCCTTGGCGGCCTTTTTCTATAATTCCTTGTGTGTAGTGTCAGATTATGTTATTTGTCTAGCCTGCAGTGGGGTGCTCAATAGTGAGTACAACCCCTTAGGGTTTCCTATATGTATCCTGCTGCTTGCTAGTTCAATCATCATTCCCATTCTCACTTCTCCAATTCTCCTTCGTATACCACAAACCCTAGTCCTAGGGCACAACCTACTACCTCCTAGTGTGGGCCTAGGCTACTAAGCCTAGGCCCCACTCCTATTGTTTCTAACATGGTATCAGAGCGAGCACGTTCCTGCCGCTTACCTCAATGGGCCCACCACCTCACTGCTTCCGCTGCTACTGCTACTCTGTGTGTTGCACGCCCCGTGGCGTGCGACGGATTTTTCATCCCGCCGCGCGCTCGGAGCGTGCGGCGGTTTTCTGCCCGCCGTGCGCCCCGAGGCGCGCGGCGGTTTTCTGCCTGCCGTGCGCCCCGAGGCGCGCGGCGGCTTTCTGCCCCGTCGCCCCCGCGTCGCCCCGCGTCGTTCCCGTCGCCCGCGGACCCCCGTTCCCGTCGCCCGCGGCCCCCCCGTTCCCGTCGCCCGCGGCCCCCCGTTCCCGTCGCCCGCGGCCCCCCCGTTCCCGTCGCCCGCGGCCCCCCGTTCCCGTCGCCCGCGGCCCCCCGTTCCCGTCGCCCGCGGCCCCCCGTTCCCGTCGCCCGCGGCCCCCCGTTCCCGTCGCCCGCGGCCCCCCGTTCCCGTCGCCCGCGGCCCCCGTTTCGTCGCCCCGCGCCCCCCCTTTCGTCGCCCCGCGCGGACGCCAGCGCCACGGCCAGCCGCGAGCGCCAGCGCGGCCCGTACGGACTGCGCCAGGCCAGGGCGCGCCTCGAGCCGCTCGCCACTGCAGCAGCCGCCCCTGGAGCCGCCTGCCACTGCAGCAGCCGCCCCTGGCCCCGCCACAGCAGCAGCCGCCCCTGGAGCCGCCCGCCACTACAGCAGCCGCCCCTGGAGCCGCCCGCCACTGCAGCGGCCGCCCCTGGAGTCGCCCGCCACTGCAGCAGCCGCCCCTGGAGCCGCCCGCCACTGCAGCAGCCGCCCCTGGAGCCGCCCGCCACTGCAGCAGCCGCCCCTGGAGCCGCTCGCCACTGCAGCAGCCGCCCCTGGAGTCGCCCGCCACAGCAGCAGCCGCCCCTGGAGCCGCCCGCCACTGCAGCGGCCGCCCCTGGAGTCGCCCGCCACTGCAGCAGCCGCCCCTGGAGCCGCCCGCCACTGCAGCGGCCGCCCCTGGAGTCGCCCGCCACAGCAGCAGCCGCCCCTGGAGCCGCCCGCCACTGCAGCGGCCGCCCCTGGAGCCGCCCGCCACTGCAGCGGCCGCCCCTGGAGTCGCCCGCCACAGCAGCAGCCGCCCCTGGAGCCGCCCGCCACTGCAGCAGCCGCCCCTGGAGCCGCCCGCCACTGCAGCAGCCGCCCCTGGAGCCGCCCGCCACTGCAGCGGCCGCCCCTGGAGTCGCCCGCCACTGCAGCAGCCGCCCCTGGAGTCGCCCGCCACAGCAGCAGCCGCCACTGGAGCCGCCCGCCACTGCAGCAGCCGCCCCTGGAGTCGCCCGCCACAGCAGCAGCCGCCCCTGGAGCCGCCCGCCACTGCAGCAGCCTCCCCTGGAGTCGCCCGCCTCTGCAGCAGCCGCCTCTGGAGCAGCCGCCACTGGAGCCGCCGCCCCTGGTGCAGCCGCCCCTGGGCCCGCGACGCCGCCCCTGGAGCAGCCGCCCCTGCAGCAGCCGCCCCTGGCCCCTGGAGCAGTCGCCACTGCTGCAGCTGCCCCCAGAACCTCAGTCGCCGCCCCTGGAGCAAAAGCACCAGCAGCAGCCGACCATGCAGCTGCCCGCGACGCCGCTCCTGGACCCTGTGCAGTCACGCTCAGTCTCACCCGCGCCCTTGTGCGCCCTACCCTACCTGCTCCGCGCTGTTGCTCTGCACGCGCGGTTGCCCGCGCCCTCGTGCGCTCTACCCTACCTGCTCCGCGCTGTTGCTCTGCACGCGCGGTTGCCCGCGCCCTCGTGCGCTCTACCCTACCTGCTCCGCGCTGTTGCTCTGCACGCGCGGTTGCCCGCGCCCTCGTGCGCTCTACCCTACCTGCTCCGCGCTGTTGCTCTGCACGCGCGGTTGCCCGCGCCCTCGTGCGCTCTACCCTACCTGCTCCGCGCTGTTGCTCTGCACGCGCGGTTGCCCGCGCCCTCGTGCGCTCTACCCTACCTGCTCCGCGCTGTTGCTCTGCACGCGCGGTTGCCTGCGCCCTCGTGCGCTCTCCCGCCCCGCCCCCCCCCCCCCCTTCCCCCCACTCTCTGGGTCCCCTGGACAGGAGGGTGTGGGGGTGGCGGGTGTGGGGGTGCTCCGTGTGCGTCGCCCCTTCCTTCTCCTCCGTCTCCCACTGCTGCAGCTGCCGCTGCGGGGGTGGATGTGTGGGAGACGAGGGAGTGGCGCTAGGGGGGTGATGTGGGCGTGGAGCGAGTGGTGACCCTGGGGGTGTGTGTAGGGGGGAGTGAGACAGTTGGAGGAGGTTGCAGCCTGGTGCTCCTGGTGCCCGTGTGTCTGCAACTTCAGTAGTCGCCTCCTCTCTTCTCTCCCTCCACAGTTC